GGGGGGGGGTGGTGGGGGGGGGGGGGGGGGGCACATTGTCCCACTGTTCCCTCCATCCTCCTCAGCCAGCACCCTATGCTGCTACCTGCTGGGACCAGGGCTGGGAGCGGGCAGGGGGAGGGCGAGGCAAGGCCACCGGCTCTGGCCTGGTCCCCCTGCTCCGGGCACTACTGCGCTGCTGCCACTGCCCTCTGTCAGGAATGCTCTTGGAGCCCTCTGATTGATTGTTTCAGACAGCCAATCAGTGTGTGAATAAAGCATTATGGACAGACAGACAGACCAAGGCTTTTATAATATTAGAATTTAGTAGTTTAAGATTGAAAACTTTAGTTTGTTTGCAGTCAATAAATGTGTTTATCCTAGAGTTGAAGTAACAAGCATATAAGGAAGAAATCAGTTAATACCATTACTAGGTTAATAACACTTAATTAAATTTAGGAAAAATTAGGAAATAAATGTTATAAAGTACTCCAATTTCAAACTAAATTCTAAAAATTATTGAGCTGTTATTTGGTTTTGTGGTCTAAGCCATACTTTGTATTTTAAATCTATGTTTTAAATTAATCTGGGAGAATTTGGTTTGTAATGTCTCAGCATTGCAGAATATTAGAAGAAATTGTTCAGACATTTTCTGAGTTACTTTTTGATTCACTATCTTTTGTTTCATCATAACCTTTATTATGAACAGGCGTTTTGGTCACAATAGTGAAGGTATATATATTCACAAAATGTTCAGGCAAGGATATTGATACTGGTATGTCCTGTATGCTAATGTGCTCTTCAGCTGTATCCTTCGGGGTCCTCACTCTATACAGAGTTTCACCTGCCCAATGATAAACAAAAATATGTGATTTAGGTGACCAATTATACCTGACATATGAGGTATAGTGAGAATTTGAAAAAAAAATATTTGGAGCAAGTGATTCAAGAATAAGAATATGTTAAGTTTTTTTCACGTAACATTTTAGTTTAACTTTAAAAAAAATGTGTATTTGTCTGAATGGGCATTCTCATTCTATACGGGTTGTTTTCCTTGACTAGTGACTATAACCCAGTCTAAAAATTGTGAAGTTTGATTTTATGTTTGAAAATCTGCTTTTCAAAAAAAAACCAAGCAGGGGGAAGGGGTATTTTTTGTTCGCTTGGTTTTTTGTCACATCTAAGAAATAAGGACATAACCCCACAAAATACTGAGAATTACCTAAACGGTTTTGAACTTGTTTATTTTATATTAAAGTCAAAGGAACTGATGGATCTTTAATGACTCTTAAGAGGGGACTCAGTATTGCATAGGATCAGAACCTTAGCATATACTAGGTTGTTACCCGTTATTACCCAGTGCCATGAAGAGTGATAACAGCATACGTTTGTCACTTTTTTTTTAGCTGTTAGTTGTGGTCATCCTGGTAGTCCAATTTATGGAAGAACGAGCGGAAATGGTTTTAACTTCAATGATGTTGTGACATTCTCTTGTAATACTGGATATATTATGCAAGGGCCAACAAAAGCACAATGTCAGGCTAATAGACAATGGAGTCATCCACCCCCAATATGTAAAGGTATGAATATAAAATGTCAGTAAAATTCATGGAAACACTGAAATATTGAACTGATTCCATCTTCCTTTCTGTACTTTTTATGGATAAAGTAAGTGAAACAGTAATATGGCATTATATGAATCTCTCAACCCATTAACATGGGAGGATGTCTCAGTAGATTATATACAATTAAATATACATTATTTGTAATGAATACAGAACAGGAAAGATTTAAAAAGAATACCTAATAATCCTCCAACATTATCAATATACCTTCTAAATTTTAAGATGCATTTGTATTTGGTTTTTTTTAATCTCTTTTATATTTAATGAATATGAGCATGCTATTGTAAACAATGAAGCATAGAAACTTATGATTTAACTCCATTTTCTTGGAGCAGCCATACCCTGCATTGATTGGGTGGTCAAAAATTTTAAATCCTTGGCTTATGAAATGAGAACATTCATAAATAAGAACTGGAGGGGTCAGAAATGTGTTTGAAGATTTAAAAAGTGCTCCACAAAGAAAAAAGTTGTATTTTTCAGGAAGTCCTGCTGCCATACACACAGAAATAGCATCCAGCTAGTATCCTGAAGCTGAGCCAGTATATTTTGCATTTACTGAAGTATCCTGTAGGCCGTGGGATACTAAAGAGTATTTAAAAAGATAATGTATTAATACTTTTCATGCACTAGGGTAGTTGGATGGGGGGTTTTGAACACAAAGTGTTTGTATTTAGATGTGTTTATTTCTGTAATTCACTAAAATACCCTTTTTATGTATTTTAACCAAATATATTTGGTCTTCAGCCCACCAGCAATAAATTATCACAGTATACTGGTATTCTACAGTAACATACTATACTCCTTATTATATGTTATTGCCTGTGGGTCAGAAGCTAAATAAAAGTATTGATCGCACTGCTTCCTGAAATCTTTTGCACACAGCTATGAAATCTTAAATTGATTCTAGAGTGATCTTTGAAAACCAGGGCTGAGTATATACAGAGGGTCATTGTGAAAGGTACAACTTTTGCTCTGCCTGTAATGTTCATTATCATATAGTTGCATTTTATATTTGTATTCTTAAGTGCTTGCAAGTTGTTCAAATGTCCACTGAACACTGCAACATTCTTGAAAATGGTGTACACCCTCTAAAGGCTCCTTCTGTAGTGAAAAGACCTAACAGTCCTCATAATGATGGGGATGCTATCCATGTTTGCAAAAATGCCTGTGCAGAAGGCATAGAAAAT